ATCATCCCCATGAATGAATGAATGGAGCCAGGCCAACCATGCCTCCCACTTGTTTGACATTTTGGTTTGGGTTTAAATGTCTCAGTACAAACAGCATATTTGTGCTCTTGAATTGCTCCGTATACAACCCCAATTCAAAAGGCAGAACACTGTAAAGCTAAAAAAGGAACGCAATCATTTGTAAATATTGTAAACCCATATTTTATTCACAGTTGAACTTATCAAATGTTTACCTGCCTTTTACAGTGTCCCACTTTTGGGGGGGGGAATTGAGGTTATTTATTAATCTTTGTATTTGAATGTTTTTCATTTGATTGGACACATTTATGACTTTGCAAGTTTCCCTTTAAACGCTTTCCCAGTGAGTCACATTGTGGATGATTGTGAGATTTGCATTCATGATCAAGGAAGTTTATGCACAGACGTGTACTGTGAGATCTGTTTGTCAACCATCTGCATTTTACACAAGGACGCTTATCTGAGAGATTGAATGATAGTTTTAAAAAAATGATAACAAGAAGTGTTTAGTTGATGCATCACTGAGCATGCTTTGCACAGAAGCAGCAGCTGCAAAGTCACTTCTGAAGTCACCTTTTTTACTTTTTCCATTTGACCTTATTGGCCTTTATCTGAAACTTGAAAGTGAAAAAGTCTAGGTTTCATCAGGCAAAAATAAGGAAATAAGCATATCAGAACTTGGCAAAGTATCCAGAGGATGTCCGATCTTTGCAAAGGCTTTGTGGCAGTTGTAGAACGGCTTTACGTAAGCAGATCATGCAGAGTCAAGAAATCAAAGGACAAAGCTGCAGGCGTCTTATAGCTGAAGGTTTCTGACCAAAACCACACAGGATCTTGTTTTAAAAAGACAGCTCAGACTCCAAAATTATCTGGTACCTGTCACTTATTCTATTTCCTCTATAACAATAAAAGTACAGTTCGTGTGAGATGCACATTTAAAGATTTATATGTTAAATTGATGGGTTTGCACTGTGTTTCAGCTTCTGAATTGGTGTAATACATGCATAGAGGGAAAGTGAAAATAACATTATTACTTCATGTTACTCCTATTTTTGCTATATTGATTATTTGTTTTCTTTCAGACTCTTAACTCAGACACAACCTCTTTTATCTTCCGTCTCATGATCGACTGCTTGTCTCTGTGTAATTACAGGCCACACATGCACTTTCAAGTCATAAATGATTTTTGGATAAGTCACGAAGACTAAAAAGGTGGAAGCAACCAAAAGGAAGCTGCACAGCGCAGCTGTTGCATGTTGACGTGATGTGTTTTCACTGATTGTTAGCAATGCCATTATTGATTCTGCTTTACTGGTCAGATTATTTCCTTGACTTGACACATGTGATTCAATAGATCTGCAATGCAACAGTTGATTGGTGTAGGAAAAGCTTGCACTGCAAGCTTTGCGACTATGCAGTGATGGTTTTTGTTCCCTTATTTCTCTTCCTGTACAAAGAGTATGGAAGAGTTTTGCAGGCAAGGACCTGGTGAGCGATTTGAGGTGGCTGTAGCCTGAAACCTGTAACAGAAATCTATTATAATCCAAAATAAAACGAACTGGATAACACTTTTACAGCATTCATTTATATTTAGGCTTTGTTAGACAAAGAAATCATGCCTTCCTGCATGAAGAGATTTCGCTATGACCAAGGACCACTATGACCTGCCCCCTGTGCAAACACCATCTCAAGCATGGCATGTCAGTGTCAGGCACATGGCATGGATTTTCCTGAAACTTCAGTTTTTTCGAAAGATTTTTGAGTAAATTTTGTTCCTTTTTGATATTAGGATAAAGAGTCTGTATTTGACTGTGTGGGCATCTATGATTCATATGTGTCTGTGTGTGAAACACTGGTTTAGCTTTGGAAGGCATGGAGTAGCTCTGACTTGACTAAACATGTGTTTTAATGATTTTTCTGCTCTTTAGTCAGCCTGTGATGATTAGGTAACAAATCAATATTTTCATGAACGTTCATGTTTGTTTAAAATTGAAGTTAAAAGTATTTTAGGATAAAACCATTAATCATCCCTGTTGCATACATGGATGCCACGTTGACCACATGATATGCTAATGGTCTGTTACATAATGTCGTGACGTCACTGAATGGATGATGTTTTCCCTTTACATTCATCTGTGTTTGAGTTATAAGGGGTCAAAGGAGACATTTGAAACGCAACACAAAATAGCTTAAAGCTATGGATCTAAGTTTAGTCAGGATGATACATTAGCTTGTGCTCCATATTTACTCCTTAGTGTCTGTCTAGTGATTGGCTCTTAGGATTCCCCCTCTGGCTTTGTGGCTCATTTTATCACCTTTGGGGGAACGCTTACACTACGAGGTGTTAACACATATACGTCCGTGCACATATTTCATCATTTCATTTTGACAGCTGTGTCAGGGTTCGAAAAGAGTCGATGAGTCTGTATGACTTTAATTTAAGAGCGATCTATAAATTTTCCTGTTTAACAAGATAAGATGTCTGTCATACTTGAATAAATGAAATGACAATTAACAAATGTGGTTAAAATGTGCTTGTGTAGCAACCTGTTTCTAAAACAACAGTAAATTTAATTCCTCAGTTTTAGAGTTTAATACTCTTTAGAATTGAGCTCTGGCACAGATATAACACTTTGCTCCTCTGCCCAATATTTAAACTGGGGTAAAACCATAGACTGGGCTGTGATTCATTTTGTAATAAACTCAGGTGAATCCCATCAGTAGAGCCTGACTGACTATAGCATTTGTTTTTAATGATATTATTATTATTATTATTATTATTATTATTATTATTATTATTATTATTATTATTATTATTATTATTATACTGATGTGATAATGATATTTGATTGTGGGTTTGTTAGGTTTTTTTTATTGATTTATTTATTTCACTTTTTAAGTGAGATTTCAGTCGATCACCATAACGCATGAACAGATTTCCCTTAGAATTATGTAATTATTTACACTCTGCCCAACTCTGCTCAGATCTGCTGATTGTGTTTTTGCTGCATCAAGTGTTTGTGTACACTTGATGAATGCTGTTACTGATAAATCAGCAAAAAGCATATATCGCCTGATGATATCGGGCCTGCCACCAAAGACACTAGACCTCAGTTTCTCTAATATCTGAAAGAGAAACAATCTAATTTAACCAT